GTACAGTAAGAGCATGTCAATGCAGTGTCAAATTAGAGCATCTCCAATGCTATAATTAGGGCCCGTTTAGTTTGTCTGATTCGAGTTGAGATGTGACTTTATGTGAGAGTTTTTTACTGTAGCAAAAAAGTTATGTTCCGTTTGTTTTGAGGGTTTTGTCCTGGTTTTGCATTATGGTTCTTGGTTAGCTACAGTGTTTTTCTCTCATAAAAAATTAAAATTTTAAAAATCAGAATCATGAACCATGGTTCTGAACCCATGAACCAAACGTCACCTTAGGTGTGACTGTTTCTAAGAGCTTTTTACTGTAACAAAACTCGAATTATAAACTTTAATCGGTGAAATGAACAAGGCCTTAATGTGTAAATTATAAATTTAGCATTTGAGCGCAAAAAAACACTTTCTAATGTAATGTTATTTAGTATGCTAATGCCAAATTTTAGCACCTCTGTAGAAAATCCATTCTCCGGTACACTGCTGTTATGATGCTAGATTTGACATATGCTATATTTGGTGTTAAATTTGGTACCAAGTATAGCTTATACTAAATTGATGTTAGCTTATCCTTCTTTTAGTATTATGAATCTGATATTTTGACTTGTTGCCTTATATGACTTGGTGTTAGCGTGAATGTACTTGTTTATTTTTTAGTTAGTTTCGCATGGATGGATGCATGCAAATGATTTTCTCAAGTGTATAAATTATATTAGTTAAATACTGTCATAGAAAGATGTCGTAGATTATAGACACAACCTTAGTCGGACTGATTAATCCTTTTACAATTTGTGTGGTATATTTTTTGTTTTGTTTTTTGTTTTTTTTTTTCCCTTTTGGTTTTCTTCCTTTATGTATTTTGGTTTTTGATTCTTTTTTCTTTTTCCATAGAAATATAAAAAGATTTGTTTCTTCAAGACTTGTTTTATTGAAATTTAGAGGGACATTTCCTATGAAAATAGATAGTAATCTACTCTATTGCTGAACTTGATTAGGATGGATAGAAATCAAAATCCTGTTGAAATTGTGGCGAATTCTCAAGACAATGCAAAGATGATAGTTGCTGTGGATAACAGAGATGCTGGGCTTGTTAGCTCTCCTAATAGAGGCACTGTGACCTTTGAAGGTGATGCAGACTTTGAACCTTGTAATGGCATTGAGTTTGAATCACACGAAGCAGCGTACTATTTTTATCAAGAATATGCCAAATCTATGGGGTTCACCACTTCAATAAAAAACAGCCGGCGTTCCAAGAAGTCAAAAGAATTTATTGATGCTAAATTTGCATGTTCTAGATATGGTGTCACACCAGAATCAGACAGTGGTAGTGGTAGTAGTCGGCGTCCAAGTGTGAAAAAGACAGACTGTAAAGCCAGCATGCATGTGAAGCGAAGGCGAGATGGAAAATGGATAATTCATGAGTTCGTTAAGGAACATAATCACGAACTTCTACCAGCTCTAGCATATCATTTTCGGATTCATAGGAATGTAAAGCTAGCTGAAAAGAATAATATTGACATTTTGCACGCAGTTAGTGAGCGGACTAGAAAGATGTATGTCGAGATGTCTAGACAATCAGGTGGATATCAAAATGTTGGGTCTCTCAGAGCTGACATGAATTTTGAGTTTGATAAGGGTCGGTACTTGGGTCTTGATGAGGGAGAAGCTCAAGTTATGCTCGAGTATTTCAAGCATATCCGGAAGGATAATCCCAACTTCTTCTACGCAATAGATCTAAATGAAGAGCAGCGTCTGAGAAACTTGTTTTGGATTGATGCTAAAAGTAGGAGCGACTATGTCAGTTTTAATGACGTTGTCTCATTTGATACCTCTTATATCAAAATAAATGATAAATTGCCATTTGCTCCGTTTGTTGGGGTGAATCATCACTTTCAGTCCATGTTGCTTGGCTGTGCAATGGTTGCAGACGAGACTAAATCAACATTTGTTTGGTTAATGAAGACATGGCTTAGAGCAATGCACGGGCAAGCTCCCAAAGTAATTATCACTGATCAAGACAAATCCCTCACAGCAGCCATTGAAGAAGTCTTCCCAAATACACGTCATTGCTTTTCCCTGTGGCATATATTGGAAAAGATCCCTGACACTCTTGCCCATGTAATCAAGCAGCATGAAAATTTCTTGCCAAAGTTTCACAAATGCATTTTTAAGTCGTGGACAGATGAACAGTTTGACATGAGATGGTGGAAAATGGTCACTAGATTTGAACTCCATGATGACGAATGGTTTCGGTCATTATATGATGATCGTAAAAAATGGGTGCCTACTTATATGGGGGATACTTTTTTGGGTGGAATGTGCACAACTCAGCGTTCTGAAAGCATGAATGCTTCCTTTGACAAATACATACATAAAAAAATTACTTTGAAGGAGTTTGTGAAACAATATGGGGCTATTCTACAAAATAGGTATGAAGAGGAAGAAATTGCAGATTTTGATACATTGCACAAGCAGCCTGCTTTAAAATCTCCTTCGCCTTGGGAGAAACAAATGTCAACAGTTTACACACATGCTGTATTTAAGAAATTTCAAGTTGAGGTTTTGGGAGTAGTTGGCTGTCAGCCAAAAAAGGAAAGGGAAGATGGACCAACTAGCATATTTAGAGTTCAAGACTGTGAAAAGGACGATTACTTTTTCGTGGCATGGAATGAGATAAATTCAGAGGTTTCTTGTTCCTGTCATTTGTTTGAATACAAAGGTTTCCTTTGTAGACATGCGCTAATTGTCCTGCAAATTTGTGGCCTCTCAAGCATCCCAGATCACTATATTCTGAAGAGGTGGACGAAAGATGCAAAAGGTAGGCAATCAACAGCTGAAGGAACGGAAAGAACAAAGACTAGGGTGCAACGCTACAATGAGTTATGCAAGTGGGCCATTGAACTGAGTGAAGAAGGATCGGTATCTGAAGAAACTTACAATATTGCTTTCCGTGTGTTAGTAGAAGCTCTGAAGAACTGTGTGAATGTGAATAATTCCATCAGTAATGCTGCAGAAACTAGCAGCAATTTTCTTTCTATTTGCGAGACAGCAGAAGAGAATCAAGGAAGCCTTGTGGCTAAGACAGTTAGGAAGAAGAATACCAATAGGAAAAGAAAGGTTAGTGTTTGACTTGTTGATTGTTGGCTTTTTATGTTGCTATACCTGAAAGGTTAGTCTTTGTATGTTGCCATATCTGTGACTGAAACATGCTATATATTTCAGCAGGTACAAGCAGAGCCAGAGGCTATGCTAGTTGAGGCGCAAGACAGTTTGCAGCAAATGGTTTGTGCTCTTCGCGTTCGAATTATGTTTATTGTTTCAAGCTTTTTCTTACGCTAGCAGACTGCACATACCTCAATTAGAAAGATATAACAATGTTCATTATGCATTTTTCTGTGTAATGTAAACATTGAACTACTGTATCTAACAACTGAACTTCATAGGAAACGCATCTTTGTGTATAGTTTTGATGGAAGTCTGGGGAATAAGATAAAAACATACTCCTGTAATAATTTAACCCATGTCTTTTCTTGATCTGGGTTTTAATGCTTGTAGGATAACCTGAGCTCTGACAGTATACCCCTTAATGGATTTTATGGTGCCCAGCAGAATGTTCAAGGACTGGTATGGATGTTAATATACAACAACAACAAGCCTTAATTCCAACTTAATTGGGGTCGGCTATATGGATGTTAATATCTTGCACTTTTTTTTTTTTTTGAGCCGAGATAGTGAGTTGTTATAAGAAGAACTAAGGAGTTTTACTTCTTTTAGTACATTTCGTACATAATGCTACTGTCTCACAAATGCTGATTGTTAGCTGCAGTTAAACTTAATGGAGCCTCCCCACGACAGTTACTATGTTAACCCACAAAGTATACAAGGGCTGGTATGTCATGCTAAAGCATTCACTTTTATACATGATCAAAACCATGGAGACGAGGATTTGATGTTTACAAGTCACTGTTATGTTATCATATGCCTGTAGGGACAACTGAATTCAATGGCTCCTGGACATGATGGTTATTTTGGTACTCAACAAAGTATTCATGGGCTGGTATAGTATACTTGTAGTTATGAGGAGTATTCTATATACAAACTCGGTTATGTACTGGTACTCAATTGTTTATCATAAAATTTTCTGTTTTTATTTTATTTTATTGTATTTTTTATTTTTACCATGTAGGCTCAACTGGATTTTCGACAACAACCTAGCTTCAGTTATGGCTTGCAAGTAAGTTCGCATTAAATGGCCTACATATTGATATTTGACAACAAACAGCTATTTCATGTCTTTATAATACAACGCCTTTTGGTTCTTTACTCTTACTGCAGGATGAGTCACGCTTAAGATCCGCACACTTGCATGGTAGCGGTTCTAGACATGCGTGAGGAATAACTAAGTCGTTGCTTTTCATGGTAGCTGTAATGATACTTGTACGTTGGAGTTGGTAACATTTTTCCAAAGACTGATTTGCTGATCAGTAAAGTGATCCAGCAAGGCACCTTTCTTTCTGAATGAAGATAGATGACTTCCTGTTTATTGTATAGAAAGTGATCTGCAGAAGTTTAACGGAGACCATAGAAGAGACAAAAAATCGACGTGCCATATTCTGCCTTGCAGCTTAGTGATGGCGGCAGTACAACCTTTGTGGAAGCGTAGTTTGAATGAAACAGAGTACTTCTAACTTCTAACTTTAAGTATCAAATCTTGGCTATGCAATTAGGTAGTTGAGATAAACGTGTCAAGGAGGAGAGGAATTTTGATAGTCGTTTTCACTGTCGGAATAGGAAAAAAAAATTGCTTCGGAGAGGGGCCGTCCATACCAGCATGTTCTTTCCTTGCACGTTTTGGTTCTTAATTTTGTAACATAATCCATTGTATTGTCAGGTTAGAAGATGGATCTTTTTAGTGTCAATAATCCATGTTCTAGTATTGTAAATATTGTCAGCAAATTTATTGTAAATATTGTTGACTACATGGAAGTAGCCCGCTCTTTGCAAGGTTGCCATCTTCTCTTCCTTGATCTCTCCTTTCTGGCGGCAGCGCCTGGCCGGCTATAGTTAACAAATTAGTGTTTTGAAGAAAATTAGGATTATTTCAATTTGGATTTCTTTTTTATTTACTGCATAAAATTAAATTGAAGAATAAAGAAGTACATTTTTTTCTATTGTATATTTACCAAGTAAATAAATTGGCAAAAAAAAAAAACATCTGGTAAATATTATATTTATTAAGTAAATGATAAATAATCGGTAAATAGTTGATATATTGGATATAAAAGATTGTTAAATCATCAAAAACAAAAGAAGAAAACTAAACACGTTGTGAATTTACCGTGTTCGTTCACGACAGACACGAAGACCCTCATTGCGTCTAGGTTGTTAGGGCCCACGGTGAGTTCGTTGCCATCGAGACGATGACCGAGAGTAGAGAATGTGAATGCGAAAAAGAGGAAATTTTGAAAAAAAATTTATTTATTTTTTCATGTTATAAAACAAACATATTTTTTCTTTTACGAATTTTGAAATCCGGACATTTCCTTTCATTTCTTTTCAAAAGTGGCATATTTCCTGAGAACTTTAAAATACATTTCACATTTCATGGGAAAATTGAGTAGAAAAAAGAAAAAAGAAGAAGAAAACCCATGAACCGAATATTGCGGGTCAGTAAGCTAAATCGGGTCTCTCTCTCTCTCTCTCTCTTCTCGTTTCAGCATTTTCCTTTTGGTTCGGTTCATGAGAAAACGAGAGCAAAAAATACAGAAAATTTAAGGTGAAATCGGTCGTTTTTGATCTAGTCCCACAAATGTATCGCCGATGATTTTTCCGGCAAACGGAAAATCTGATGCTAGGAGGTCACTGAGCTCTCAAATACAAGTTAGCCCAACATTTCGATTCTTTTCCCTTTAAATTTTCCTCAGCTATGTTCTTTTTATTTGCTATTTTATACTCTGTACGTTCTTATATGGTTAGAGAGATAGGAACAAAAAATTTAAAAAAAAAATTTGTATTTAAGTTTCTCTTTAGTATTTAGTGAATCAAAGTTGAAACTGAACATCATATGACAGGAATCGCTTCTCTATAGTTATATATTGGATGGGTAACCACCGTAAAAAGATAACCATTAAAAACTCGTCACATATTTTTTTACTATTTTGCACAATAAATAGTCTATAAAAGAAAACCCATTTTTCATATTGTTAAATTCCCGCTCATCCTTGATTAATATGGCTACCTACAATTAATACAGAATGTTTATGAATTTTGTTTTTCCTTTTCGCCAGGTGAAATCCTTTTAGTTGAATAAGATAGTTTTTTCTTCTATGGAGATAGATCTTGAACAGCCTTCCTGTGAGCAGGAGAAATTAGATGTTGGTTCAAATTCGAATGCCGATGTTGTCGATGAAACTGACGAGGTTCATGTCGAGGAAGAGCATGCAAATTCTCGGGTGTTTAGTGAATGCTGTGGCAAGGAAGATGATGAATCAAATGCTGATGAAATCATTTCCAGTGGTCGGGACCAAGTGGATGTAAATGTCGTTGGCCTGGATGTTGTTAACGAAGGGTCTATTCGTGAGCCCTGTAATGGTTTGGAATTCGAATCGAAGGAGGAAGCCTACTCTTTTTATAGGGAATATGCTCGTTCCGTGGGATTTGGTATCACGATTAAGGCCAGTAGGCGCTCGAAGAAGTCTGGAAAGTTTATTGATATAAAAATTGCGTGTTCTAGATTTGGAAGTAAGCGTGAGTCTGGCACGGCTGTGAATCCAAGACCGTGTATAAAAACGGACTGCAAGGCAGGAATG